CACTGGTTCAGAACTGACTCGATAGCACTTAACAACAACATTAGTCAAAACTGACTCAATGGCACACTGCTACTAAGTCTTATACTTTTACTGTGGCTCTGTTTGGAAATAGGGTCTTCGGAGATGTTATCAGTTAGCTTAACATGAGGTTATATATAGGAATGGTGTAGATCCCAATTCTATATGGCTGGGGTCCTTATAAAAGAGATGAGACAGTGGAAGGACATCATGTGAAACTGCAACTGCAAACCAAGGAAGTTCAGGGGTTACCAGAAGCTGAGAGAAAGCCATGCAGCAGACTCTCCCTTCAAAGTCTCGGAAGAAACCAACACAACCACCACCTGATCTCACCCTCCCAGCCTCCAGAATTATGGAACAACACATTTCTGTTCTTATGATCTACCCTGTTGGTGATGTTTTGTTACAGCAACTAAGAAATTAGGACCTACTTTCACAGGTGACATTCTGTGCGATCCCACATCCTCTGTGACATTCTCTGCAAACCTGGAAGTGCCCTAACTTTCCACCACATCCGGTCACATCCATCCTTTTCCCTCATATATAAGACACCTTGACACAGGGTTACAGATGAACTATTAAATTGCATCTCAGCTTCCTTATCTGAAAAATGAGAGGGCCAGGAGCAGTACCATCCTCGTGGCACTGCTGAAGTTGAATTAGAACATGTACTCCAAGCATAAGGAGCCCTGGTGTCACAGTGGTTAAGTGCTCAGCTGCTAATTGAAATGTCAGCAATTCAAATCCACCAGCCTCTCCATGGGAGAAAGATGTGGCAGTCTGCTTCTGTAAAGATTGACTGCCTCGGAAATGTAAAGGGAAACCACCTATGGGACAGTTCTACTCCGTCACGTAGGGTCTCTATGAGGCAGAATTTGACTCAACAACAGTGGATTTGACTTACTTGGTACACCAAGCACTCTGGGTGGTCTCCCAGGAATGGGCGTATACCCTGACCAGCACCTACCAGCAGCAGCATCTGACTCCAGGTAACGCTCTTCTCTTCTCCCCTCAGACCTTTTAAACAGACTGAATCACACAATTACAATGAAATGGTTCCTGTATAGCTCTCCCGTCAGTTATTTAGGACCGTATCCACCACCACGTCTGCCTACGTCCTCGGCTTCCTCCAGCCACCGGCACCACACACAGCCCTGGGTCTGGGCTCAGTCATTTTCCCATTAATCAATTGAAACGTTGCCACTCTCCTGAGCCTTTTTTGTGAGGGGCTTCAGGGGGAAGACTGAAGAGGAGTTATCGTCTTAATACCATACTCTGACAGGCTGACAGAGAATTTGATCACTGAAGAGTTAGCCTGGAGATGCTCAACAACATCATATATTTAAGTAACAAAAAAGAAAAGTTTTTTGTTAAAATGATTTTCTGAGTAGTAGCTGGGTTTTAAGTAGGTTGGAGGGTGCCCTCTGGGTGCTTCCAGGGAATCCTGACTGTCGCTTACGAAGGAGACCTTTCAGGAAAGCCCTAGAAACCACAGTTGTATCCATGAGCACCAAGAATCCAGACGTCCCCACCCAGATCCTGTAAAGGTTAATGGGCTTCCAAAGCAAGGATGGGAGGTATATAAAGGCCCATCAGACTAGCCAGACACTGCAGACAAGCAGAGAGAGAACCCTCCAGGCCTCTCAGACCACACTCACACTGTAAGTAGCCAAAGAAGAAAGAGGGAGGGATGCTGTTAGCATGAGCTCAGAAGCAGAATAATGGTGCAAGCTGAGCACTGGGGTCAGAGATCTCTGGGATGAGCTGACCTGATCCTTTATCCCCTTAGCCACCTGCAAATACCTGGCTGGGCTAAGACTGAGGGCCCCACACTGATTCCAGAGGAATCAGTTAAAACTGAGAGTCCTGGTGTGGCACTGTAGGACCAGCACTGGACTGCTAACCACAAGGTCGGCAGTTCAAACCCACCAGTCACTTCATAGAAACTCTATATAGGGTCGTTATGAGTCAGAACCGATTTGATGGCACTTAACAACAGCAGGTTAAAGCTAAGGTTCCAGGTGATGAAAACTGTTTGTACTTGACTACTACCTAATGCCGTCAAGTGGTTCAAACCCACCCAGAGGCACCACAGAAGAAAGGCCTGGCAATGTGCTTCTATAAAGATTATAGCCAAGAAAACCCTATGGAGAAATTCTACTCTGTAACACATGAGGTTGCATTGAGTAGGAATCAACTCAACAGCAACAGGTGTTTTAAGTTGAAGCTGGAATCTCTAGGCAGTATGACTGGTTAACACTAGGAAGAAAGACCTGGCAGTCCACTTCTCAAAAAATCAGCCATTGAAAACCCTATGGAACACCTTCTATCCTGATAACATGGGTCACCAGCAGTCTGATTCAAATCGAGGTTAGAACCAAGCCCATTGTGGTCAAGTCAATTCTACTACTCATGGTGACCCCTATGTTACAGAGTAGAACTATTTCATAGGGTTTTCTTGGCTATAATCTTTACGGAAGTTGATCACTAGGCTTAATCTTCTGTGGTGCTTCTGGGTAGGTTCAAACTACCAACCTTTAGGATATTTTGTTGTTAGGTGCCATCAAGCTGGTTCTGACCCACAGTGACACTATATACAACAGAATGAAACATCAACCGGTCCTGTGCCATCCTTACAATTACTGCTATGTTTGAGCCATTGTAGTTGCCACTGTGCCAGTCCATCTTGTTGGGTGTTTCCCTCTTTTTAGTTGTTCCTCCACTTGACCAAGCTTGGTGTCCTTCTCCAGAGACTGGTCCTTCCTAGTATGTCTTAAGTATGAGAGACGAAACTTGGCCATCTTGGCTTCTAAGGAACATTCTAGTTGTACTTCTTCCAACATTGATTTATTTGTTCTTCTTCAAGTCCATAGTATTTTCAATATTCTTCTACAACACCATAATTCAAATACATCAAATGAAAACTGTACTCAAGTTGCATATATTGAGCCAAGCAGGACTGCCTTGAGGCATGGTGACTGCAGAGAGGAGGAGGTGGTTGTCATTCCTGACAAAGGAGACGCTATTTGGGGTGGACCTGATCTGTGAACCACAGGGTAGGAAACCAAGTCAGAGCTCAGCATGCACACAGAGCCCTATCAGGCACGATGGCTCTGCTCCGGAAAGTTAAGAAGAGAAAGTTGGTCCCTAGAGACATACAAGGGGAAGGAGGACAGACGGAGCTGAGTGCTTGAAGGCTGGAACCCTATCCCTGATAGTGGAAGAGGCAAGGCAGCACATCCTGGCATGATGAAAAGCTTCTCTCTGGCTGGGCTCGGAGCTCGCCAGACACAAATGAGTGTAGGTGACAGACCGATTGCCAGTCGGATCAAGAAAATGAGCAGCAATTGGATTTTTACTTTTTTTCTTTAAAGTTTTTATTGATTCCTATGGAGTGAATTAAATGTGAACACCAGAATGAAAAGGGATCTATAGCATCTCCATGAAGGAAATGGGGCACCATGAATATGACACATCCGCCTCCACCGGGAGGGAAAGTAGGGCCCCAGAGACTCTGAAGGAAGGGATAGGAGCTAGAGGGGAGGCACAGGGATTCAGGGCTCACCCATCCCATGTTGTTCAGTTCAAGATCCTCCTGGGGGTTCTGAGAGTTGATCTTTGGTGAGTGGGTGGTCCTTCCAGCCCTGCTGGAGCTTTGTCTGTCTAAACTCTCACTGAAAAGGAGGCCGAAAGGCAGAAGGAATGAGGAAGAGAGAGTGTGTGAGTGAGTACAGGAGCAGGAAGGAGGCACAGTGAGCATCCTGTTTGGCAGAAGTGGTTTTGGATGGCCAAGGGAACAGGCCCAGCAGAGAGGCAGGACACAAGCCCACAGCCATGGAAGAGTCTATCCACAGGGAAGGTCAGGGGATGGCCTGAGGAGAAGCTTGGGTGCCAGCCTAGATTGGGGCCCTTTCCTACCAACAACAACCAGGCTGCCTGAGGGAAGCTCTTTATCTGAAGACACTGCAATTTCCCCCAACCCCATACACAAAGGCTGCCCTGGCCTCTCCCCACTGCTCAAAAGTCTGCCTAATTTGTTGCTGGAATGTTGGTGCCCAGGATATATTCAGCAAGTCCTCGACCTTCTTGGGAGGGGAGGTGGGAAGACACAACATGGAGTAGGGTGTGTGGAAAAGCTCCTCCGAAGGCCAGGTTTCCAGCCTCCAATGCTTTAATGTCCTTCCCTTCCCCTAAGTTTCCTCCCCTTAGATCCTACCTGCTCTCAAGTGGCATGAGGATGGCCTAAGAGAGGGCCTTGAAATGGAATGCCCTGCACCAGTGTAAGGGATTAACCAAGGCAAGCACCTGCACAGGCTGAGTCCCCCCACAGGGTCATCCTGATCTTGTCCCAAAGAGCACTCAGCTGACCCCTTCCTCAAGTCTCTGCCTCCTAGTCCCTGATAGGACCTGAGTACTGAAATCCCTTGGCAGGTTGCCTTCCTGTCAGCCTTTCCAGAGACACCCCACTTCCCAGGATGTGGGAGAGACCCACACACACACTCTGGCTCCTGGCCAGCACTTGGAGCATTCTGAGGTGTTGAGGGCTGGCAGGGACGATGCGCCAGCCCTGTTATTTCTGGATGGCAGCCAACAGACATGCTGGGACTGAGGAGGGGCTTGTTCCAGAGCCAGCTACATACCCCCCATCAGTGGTGGGACCCCACTGTCAGATTTTGGATGCTGCTCCAAACTGAATTTTTCCAGCTGGCTCTGAGCTCAAATGGGCAAAGAGTTTTAGTCTTTTCCTGTAGAGACCCAGGGTCTTGTCTTGGTCTGATGCTCCCAGGTAGGGCAGGGTCACCTGGGCCTGGGCTTACCTGGGAAAGCACAACCTCAGGCCCAGGTCAGAGAAGCTCCTTGGCTTACTAAAGATCAGGTGGGATGTGGACCAGAACAGACAACTCCTGCCTCTGAGTGTATGACTGTCCATCTCTGCATTATACACTTGATGACAGGGTCCCTTGTCATTGTCCAGCTTCAGGATGGTGTCCCGAAAGACTGTGGTCACCCTACTGGTGGTGCATGTGGCTGCCATGCTGGCCTCCCAGACAGAAGCCTTTGTTCCCATCTTCACCTACAGCGAACTTCAAAGAATGCAGGTAAGCAATCGCCCAGGCTGCTCCCCTCCCCAGACACATCTGACATGACTCATAGCCCTGCTCTGCACTGAACAGCACTGGTCTCACTAAAGCAAAAGGGTCCTTTTGGTAAACCCATGTTTAATTAATTGTGCTAGCCACACTGAGGAGAGCATGAAGAACCAGCATCAGCATCTCCATCTCCAGCCGTCTCCCTGGCCACCTCTATTCCTCCCTTGTTGTTGTTGTTAAGTGCTGTCAAGTCTGTTCTGACTTATGGTAACCCTGTACAGGGTTTCCGAGGAGCAGCTGATGGGCTTGAACTGCCAACCTTGCAGTTCAAACCGACCTTGCAGTCTAATGCATTGTCCTGCAGTACCACACCAAGACTTCACTTCTTTCGCAAAGGTGTCAGAGGTAGGTGTCTATGAATGTCAGCGTCCCTCACCCCTCCCATCCATGGGAGGACATTTCCAATTAACAAGCACACAATTATTTAGTGAGCACTTCTGTTGTAGAAGGCACCACCCTGGGTGATAGACCAGAGCATACAAGGAAATCTAAGACCAAGACCCTCCCCTTGTCTTCAGTGAGCATATGAAAAATTAACTAACAATAGAAGACAAAAGAGAGATGTCACAAGGCAGGACATGATGAATTGCCCAATAAGGGATGCTGATCATAACTGCTGGGTTCAGAGGAGGGAGAACTCACTGTGGGCTGAGCTGCTTTTGAAGCCCGCAGGGAAAAGGTGAAACTTGAACTGCAGGATAAGCTAGGGGGAAGTGATGGAATGAGTCCTGAACCCCGGGAAGTGGGAAAGAAGGTGGTTTTCCATGCAGTGGTGACATAGCCACCCTCTCTTTTGAGCCCCAAAAGAAATAAGATGAACCTAAATACAACAAAGTCCCTGGGAGTCCTGGTATGGCACTGTGGGCTAATGCGTCAGACTGCAAAGTCGTTTGAACTGCAAGGTCGGTGCTTCAAGCTCACCAGCTGCTCCTTGGAAACCCTATACAGGGTTACTATGGGTCAGAATCCACTCGGTGGCACTTAACAACAACAACAACAAAATCCCTGAGGGGAGTCTTGGTGTAGCACTATAAGGTAAGCACTGGACTGCTCACCAAAAGCTTGGTGGTTCAAACCCACCAGTCACTCCTTGGAAACCCTATACAGGGTTGCTATGAGTCAGAATCAACTCATAAGTACTTAACAACAACAAAGTCCTTAGGGAGTCCTAGTATGGCGCTGTAAGATAAGCACTGGACTGCTTACCGCAAGGTCGGAGTTTCAAATCCACCAGCTGCTCCCTGGAAACCCTTTACAGGGTGGCTATGAGTCAGAGTTGACTCACTGGCACTTAACAACAACCACAACCACCTCCTGGAGATTCCTAAGCACACAATCAGTTTGAGCTGGACTGCTGACCGAGAGGTTAATGGTTAGAACCTACCCAGTGATACCTCAGAAGAAAATGTCTGGAGATTTGCTCCCATCAAGATTATACCCAAGAAAACCCGCTGAGCAGTCAGCTGTGTCACACGTGGGGTTGCCATGTATTGAAATGACCGGATATTAATGGGTTTAATGGAACTCAGACAGTGGAAACTAATAGAAACTGGATTGCTGGATCTGCCTTCCTGGTGCCCTTGACTTTGGACTTCTAGGGATTCTGGGTGTCTTTGCAGACATTTGTTTCTCTTTAACCTAAGGAGATGAGGAAACAAGACTTTCCTGCCTAGCCTGTCTGAGAGCAAGGCTACAATACATGAAATTGTTTCTGTTGGGAGACTCTTGTGGCCCCTGGAGTTGAGCTTGTCCAGGTCTGCCCACTCTGTACAGGGAAGGTTTCCAGATACCCAAAGAACAGAAAATTTTGCAGAGGCCACACTGAACCCCACTTCCCTTCTTCAGGGGCAGAAATGTAAAGTGTAGAAGCAATGTCTTAGCAGCTCCTCTTCCAAGGAGAAGACGAATTGTTTTAGAACCATTCCACATTGGGGCCTGCTGAGAGCAGATTCCCAAGCGTGTCATTAGAGAAACCAAAGGAAGTGGGTGTGTCTGATCACAGGAGACCAAGCAAACAGGATGCCAGGCAAGGTGTGGGACTGGCCAGCAAAAGTCAAACTCAAAATATAAACTAACAAAATGGCAACCAAAGGACACATTGCATTAATCTGCTCCATGGTTTTTCTCCTCGTAATTGCCAAGCATCGGGATTTTTATGAAGAAGCTGCAAACTCCTTCCTCCATAATTTATCTCCCTACCTCGCCTCTTATAAATCTCCTCCCAGGGACTCTGAGTTCCCGGGCCACCCCATGGCGTTCTCACAGGCTAGGCAGCCTTGACACTTTTTTATAGGCTTTTTGCTAAGAAAAACACATTTTCATACTTTATATGCATGAAGGAAGACCATTATTTTCAGCATTTTAACTTAATTAACTGTAACAATCTGGGTGCAATATATTAACTGCAAAAGAATGGAGTCTTCTTCAAGTTGACCTCTTGGTGGACATCACCAAGGACTATTCCTAAGGTACCAGGGATCTGAGTCTCCCCAGGGGAGAGAAAGCGCTGGGAAGAGAGGGCTCTTTTGGTCTGTGGGATGCTCAGATCAATTAGGTGGAGATGGACCAAGACCTAACTGGGTAGGTTGGGGGAAGGTGGGTTAACTGCAATTTCATTGGTTTGCACTTGACTACTAGTCAAAAGGTTGCTGTTTTGAACCCACTCAATGGTGCTACCATAAAAAGAGTTGGAAATTTGCCTCCATAGACATTACAGCTAAGTAGACACAATGGAGCTTGGTTCTACTGTGCAACACATGGGGTGACCTTGAGCTCGTGAAAACGTGAGGGCAACAGGCGTTGCTTCTTTTTGTTATGATGTGTTTTTGTGTTTGTTTCATGCTGCGGCCCTAGGAAAGAGAGCGGAACAAAGCGCAAAAGAAGTCCCTGAGTGTTCAGCAGAGGTCTGAGGAGGCAGCGTCTCTGGGCCCCACAGAGCTCACGGAGGAAGAAGAAAGCACAATTATCAAGGTGCAGACAAACTCGATGGGAGGTTGGGGCCCCCTAGCTAGTGAGGAGGCAGCGCCTGCCAACTGCAGCCTAGGAATGTTCTAGGATGTAGCCGTGAACAAATCATCCAGGCAGCGAGCTCCATGCTAGCAGAGAAAGATGAGTACCAAGGAGGAGGCAGTAAATCATCCGTAGGCCCCAGGTAGCACAGTATGGCAGAGTGACTGCTGGAAGGGGCATGCTGGGAGAGGATGCTGCTTTGGCTGGGAAGGAGTCAGGGAAGGCCTCTCAGAGGAGGTGACATTTGATGAGAAACCTGATGGTCAGAAGGAGCCACCCATGCCAGCATAGGAGGAAGGAAGGAAGAGTGAATGCCAAGGGCCTACCCAGAATGTACCTGGGGGGGTGAGGCCCGGGTGGTTGGGGCATGCTGACAGACAGTGAGAGGAAATCAACAGGCCCAGTTCAGGCAGCGCCTGGGGGCCAGGCAAAACAGCTGGACAGGGACCTTATCTGACTTAGAAAGATCTCAGACAGCACAAGTGGAGGCAGACCCGATAGTTGAGGTTGCCCAATCTAGCTCTCCAATTTCAGACTCATGTATTCACACAATGAAGATTTGTTAAGCTCCTACTATGTGCAAAGGGATCCCTGAGTGGTAGAAAACATTCACATGCTCTGCTGCTAACTCAAAGGTTGGAGGTTTGATTCCACGCAGAGCCACCTCAGAAGAAAGTTCTGGTGATCAACTTCTGAAAAATCAGCCATTGGAAATCCTATGGAGTACAGTTCTACTCTGATACCCATGGGGTCACCTCCATGAGCCAGAACGGACTGGATGGCAACTAGCTACTATGTGCAAGACACTGGGATAAAGTGGTGACCAAAACAGATAAAATCTGCTCATACTCTGGTGGCTGGGGAGACAGACCACAAATAAAGGAAAAATAGCTGCAAGGTTGGCGGTTCAAGCTCACCAGCTACTCCTTGGAAACCCTACACAGGGTCACTATTGGTTGGGATCGATTAGATGGCACTTAACAACAATAACAATACATGAGGTGGAGTCCTTGGTGCTGATGCAATATAATGCACTGGATCGCAAATTGGCTTGAGGTGCAAGGTCTGCATTTCAAACCCACCAGCTGCTCCTCAGAAACCCTATACAGGGTTGCTATGAATCAGAACCAACTCAACAGCATTTAACAGTATAGAGTCTTGGTATGGCACTATAGGATAAACACTGGACTGCAAGGTCAGTTTGAACCACAAGGTCGGCGGTTCAAACTCACCAGCCGCTCCTTGGAAACCCTATGCAGGGCCGCTATGAGTCAGAACAGACTCGACAGCACTTGACAACAAGAACAGCAACATATGGTTGTATACTGTCAACTCAGTTCCGAATCATAACAACCCTGAGTAAAGTTTCCAAGGCTGTAAATGTTTATGGGAGCAAAAATCTCATCTTTCTTCTGTAGAGCAACTGATGGATTCAAGTTACTGATCTTGTGGTAGCGGCCCAATGTGTAACCTACTACCGCACCTGAACTCCTCTACATATGAGGAGACTTTATAAATCTGTGGAGATTTCCAGTTTCAGTTTTCCATTAACTTTTGGAAGCCTGCTCGTATAAGATAGGTGCTGTTAAGGAAAACAGAACAGGAAAAGGAATGGGTTGAAAGGAATTTTAAATAGGCTAATCAGAGTAGTCATCATAAGAAAACAGCATTTATACAAAGAACTAAAAAGAGAGAGGGAGTGAACCACGAGGATGTCAGGGGCGGACTGTCAGGTAGAAGGAATAGCCCTTAGAAAGGCTCTGAGGCTGAAGGGGCTTGGTGTGTACAGAAGGGGCTGGAGAAGAGGGGACTGGAAGGAAAGAGGTGGGGGAGGGAGGTGAGACTAAACTTACTAGGTTATTGTCAGGACTTGGCTTTCACTCCACTCAGATGGGAGTCTTTGGGGGCTTTTGAGGAAGGACATGATCTGATTTACATTTCAAAGGGGGACTGTCCCTGGGTTAGCAGTCTGGGGCTCCTTTCTCACTTTCAACAAGACCTCCTTGGCTTTATGAGGGAGAGCTGGGAGTGAGGCATGCAGTTGACAAGAGTGGCGTTCACTGGGAACTGCCCTCTAGATGTTCCCAAGACAGAGTTTACTGCACTAACTCCAAGATCTCGGTGGCACATGTGACACCTGACTTAATATCCTTCTCCAGGAGGCTTGGATCTTCCTAGAACCGTGAAGTGAGAACGGAGCCCGAGGTCCTTTATGGGCCATCCAGTGAGGCCTCCTAGTTTTAAAGTGAGGCATTGCCACAGCAAGGGTATGGCAGAGTCAGGCATGGAAACTGCCACAACATCCAGCTGAGAACCCCAGGGAACTCCTCTGTGACTGCCCTTCAGGCATCTCCAGTGCCCTTGGGTCTGGAGTGCAGGCCCAAATCCATTTCCCACATGCAGGGAGCTGGTGGAAAGTGGAGAAGTGAGCCCTGTCACAGTCAGCCAGCTGTTTTGTACAGCTAGACAGTGGGACCAGGAGGTCCTAGGGGGTAACTGTGACACCAACTAGCCCTGCCTGGTTCTGCCTTGAAGTCACAGCAATCTCCCTTCAGACATCTCAACTATGGTCTTGATCATCGTGTCCTCTCAGTGCAAAAGACAATGTAGCCTGCTAGTCATAGGTACAGACCCTGGGGCTAAGCCCCCTGGATTTACCATCTATTTACTCTCTCTGCTACTAGCTATGTGACTTGATCCCTTTGTATCTCTGTTTCCTCATCTGAAAGATGGGCACATGAACTGTCTCTACTGCATAGGGTCATTAAGAGACTTAATATACACAAAACACTTACAAGGATGCCTGGTACATGGTAAGGCTCCACATTGTTAGCTAATACTGGGGTGGGGTGGGGAGAGGTTTGTTAAAGGTTCCCTCTGGATTGTCAAGGTCAGAGCTGGAGGGAGGAAAGGTGTCAGGATGCCCAGAAAGCCCCAGAGGCCCAGTGAATCTGGAAGAGGGGGCCTGCAGGGCTGTGTGGAGGCCCCTGGAAGGCCTCTCCTGCCACCTGTAGGGCACCCAAGGGTTAACTGCGCTCTCCGCACCTCTCCCTACTTGTTAACTCTGCCTTATTTCACAGCTGACTGCGCCTGTGGAAATTGGAATGAGGATGAACTCCAGGCAGTTGGAAAAGTACCAGGCGGCCCTGGAAGGGCTGCTGAGAGAGGTAGATGCTCCTGTCCACACCAAACAGTATGGGGGTGGAGTGTCCTCCGCCCACCCTGCTGTTGAGATTCCAGGAGTGCCGTCTGAGTAGGGTCTGGGGACTGCAATTTGTTTTCCTGCTTTATACTTGAGAACATTAAGCTGTCTTCTCCCACGCGGTGTCCCCGGCCTCCCTCCCCCCATCTCCTGGGGGAGCCTAATCACAGAGCATGCTCCCATGACTGCTGGTGGCTGTGGAGGCCCATTCTTGAGCAACTAGGACCTCTTAAATCAGGCCTCAACCAGTCCGGCCTGCCCCTCAAATCCTCTCTCTGACAGAGGGTCTGGCAAATCAACTCCCCTCCCTGCTCCAGAATCTTCCATTCTCCTTCAACACCATCATGACTGGGTGGTTGCCTTGACTGCAGTCCAGCTACAAAAGCCTGCATTTTCCCATCCTGTCCTGCCAGTCTGAGTCCTAAGCCCTGGTTGGCCTTGACCCGTTCAAGGTCTGCCCAAGTTAGTTGCACAAAGCTAGATGGTGTCTGACAAACAACCACTAATTACTTCTCATCGTCCCCAGGAGGAGAGGAGAGTGACAGAGATGGAGTTGTTAGAGATGAAGGAACTGGGAGGTTAAATGACTTGCCCCAGGCTACAGACAGAGCCAGAGGTAGACTCTCCAGAAGCCTCTCAAAGCTCCTGCCTCCCTGACCCCACAGCCTGCCCTAGGCTGCCCTCTCCTCCTTCCGATCTGCAGGCAGGTTGTAGGGCATGGTTTCATAAGCCTAACATGCGGACACTGCTCTGCAATCCTCCTTTGTCTTTCTTCCCCAGCAATTGAGTGAAGAAGCCTGCTCTGAAAAGAAGGTGGACTGACTTGGAGCCCCCAACCCGAGTGAGGCTTCAGAAATCTGAACAGCCCAGCAACTGAGCTGGGAGAGAAAACACCCTCTCCAAAGTCAAGCCACTCCTTGTAGCAAACAAAGCATGAAATAAACAGAAACAACTCTCTTATTTTACATTTTAATTTCCAAAGGGTAAACTCGGGTCATGAGTAAAAGGGGGAAAAAATAAAGCTCAGAGAGAGTTGGTCATCACTGGCGTGTACATTAGTAAAGCGTTTGCCTTTTGTAGGTTCTAAGCTCAAATGTTACATTGTTGTTGTTGGGTGCCATCAGGATGATTCCAACTCATAGCGACCCCAAGTGACAGAGCAGAATTGCCCCATAGAGTTTTCTTGGCTATGGTGGTGGTGGTTAATGTGTTGTGATAGTGACCCTGCATAGGGTTTCCAGAGCTCCTTTTTCTTGGCTATGTTATTGTTGTGTTATGTGCCATGATGTGTCATGAAGGAACACATGGTAGTCTCGAACTGCTGACCTTGCAGTTCGCAGCCCAATTCGTAACCACTACGCTAACAGTGTTCCTTAACTATTGTTGTTGTTGTTGTTACGTGCCGTCGAGTCGGTTCCGACCCATAGCGACCCTGTAGAGGGTTTCCGAGGGTGTAAATCCTTACGGGAGTAGAAAGCCTCATCTTTCTCCCGCGGAGCAGCTGGTAGTTTCGAAGCGCTGACCTTTAGGTTCGCAGCCCGATTCGTAACCACTATGCTACCAGAGCTCCTTAACTATAGTCTTTACAAAAGTTGAAGTGGTTCAACTGTCAGCCTTTATTTAGGTTGCCAGCCGAGCACTTAACCGCTGTACCACCAGGGTCCTTTGACATACAACTTTGGACCCATTGAATTGGAAGATCTGCTCCAGCCATTCCATGATAGGTGAGAAAACTGAGGTCCACTAAGTCAGAGGGAGGGCAAGGACTGGAATTCAGGTCTCCTGCAGCCTGGTCCATTTTCTATCTACTGATGAGCTTGAGGTCTAATGGGCCAGAAGATTTTAAGACCTCGGCACCAACCCCTTGCTGAGTAACTTCCAACCAGCCCTTTAACCTCAATGAGCCTTTGCAAAAGCTAGGTGGTAATATCTGCCTGGAGAGCTGGGGACAGAGGCACCGGCCAAGAGCAAATTACTATTATTATTATCACCTTGTGACTACATGCGCCAGTATCTGCAGCACCATCACCCAGCCAACCCACTTATTTCTGCCTTCTAAACAAAAATCGGATGGGAAATTTCATTCCAATTTAATTTAACTTTAATGAATGTTCATTTATTTATAAACTGGGGCCATATAGGAACTGCAGCTCCCTCTATCCATAGGTTACCAACAATTAAGACACAGCGGCCTTTCTGTATTCCCACCTACCCCAACCACAGTGAGGGCTTAGCCATAAGAAGGAGTTACCAGAACAAGACTCCAATACTTAATAAGAACTTTCATTTTAGGGTGCTCCTGATCCCAAGGAGTCTGGTATGGTGCTGTGGGCTAATGCACTGAACTGCAAGGTTAGTTTGAATGGCAAGGTCAGCAGTTCAAGCTCACCAGCTGGTCCTCAGAAACCCTATACAGGGTCACTATGAGTTGGAAGAGATTTGACAGCACGCAACAACCACAACATGCTCCTGAGGAATCCCCAGCCCTGATTTGCTGCATGGTCACATGCATTTCCCATGCACATCATCAGTCCAAGTACAGTGGCAGGTTCTGGGGAAATGCTGCCAAGGCATCAGTTATCAAATGGAGAGAGAGGGCTACAGGGGGGCAGGTGGGAGTAAAAGAGGCAAAGACAGAGGACTCTGTAATGCATGAGGTTAGGAGACCCTGGGTCCCAGACTCCTCCTCACCCTACTGAGTTCCACCATGTCAGTTCATTCCACTCTTTCTAGCACTCCCTCCCCCGCAGCCCACCCCGCAGCCTCCAACCCCACCTCCCCACCCCTGCCACAGCCACTGAGTTGACTCCAATTCACAGTGACCCCAGAGGACACAGAGGAACTGCTTCTTCGGTTTTCCAAGACTGTAAATCTTTATGGGCACAGACAGCCTCATCTTTCTCCCTGGAAGCAGCTAGTGGGTTTGAACTCCCAACCTAATGTTTAACCCACGGCACCACCAGGGCTTCTTATAACATCCTCCAAGGGACAGAAAAATAGTCTCTTTCCATACGGCAAACACAGATTTTGTGTTCTTCCCTGGCCCTTGGCCTGATGTTCCCCCATAGTGACAACCTTTCCCTACATGCAGCAGGAGTGCCCATTTCTGAGGCTGGAGGAATCTTCCCTAGGATCTTAACGACTTTGACTCATGGAGACCCTGGGCACAACAAAATGAAATGCTCAATGGTCCTGCACCATCCCCATCATCCATTACAAATCAGATTGCTGTGACTCGTAGGGGTTTTGTTGGTTGAGTTTCAGAAGCAGATCAGCAGACTTCTCTTCCTAGTCTGTCTTTGTCTGGAAGCTACGCTCAATCTATGCAGCACCATAACCATGTGCAAGCCCCCACTAACAGACAGGCCGTAGCTGTGCCTGAGCTGGGCTGGTCTTGCGTGTGAAGGCAAGAATCGCACCACTGATACTTGGCTGACTTTTGAACCTTGGGTTTCCAAACATTATAATATAAAACAGTCACTGGAGGGAGAGTGAAAGGAATAGCCAGAAATATCACCATAGAAAGCTTGTAAATCCGTCTTCTGCCTATAACCAATTGGAATACCTAAAATGGGGCTACAATGTATCTAGTGAAGGAGGTCTCATGAGGAGCCTCTGCATTGCATAAAACTATAGAAGGAAGCCTGAACCACATCTAGACCATCAGAGAAGGGAAACTTTCCTCTTAAAAGGTCAAGCAGACCAGCCTGGAGCTCAGCAAACCAGAAGACGCTTCTTGAAAGAAAGATCTACAGGAAAAATACAAAACAACAAGGGCAGTCCGACTGTTACCACAAGAACAAGCAAGCTGCCTGCCCAGGAGACACCAAGGCAAGTGGTCGGGTCCTCTCAGTGCAAATCCTCCTCCAAGACTAAGACGCAATGGGAAAATGGAGTTCTGATTGGCAACCACACACGTCACCCATAAAGAGAAGTGACGGAAGAACATCGAAGAAGCAGCGAGCTAAGCCCTGCATCGTTCAGCAGACTATGGTGAGCCCAGGTAGAGACCTGGTCGGCCTGCAGTGAGGCAAGACCTGGGGACTCATGGGTTTAGAGTCAGTGACACATCCACAGAGGACTAGAAAGGAGACCAAAGCGACCAACTGATAAGAAGAGGGCGGACAGACGCAGGAACACCCACACCTGCAGATGATACACACTTGCCATGGCTCCAATGATGGGACGCACAAAGCTCAACCCGAAGAAGAAAGAAGAGGGAAGGAAAAAAAAAGCGTCATCTGATACAGTCTGATAAACTGGACATCCATCTATAAATGCAGTAGCTCAAAAAAAGAAACAAATCCCTGCTCCAAGAATTATTCCCACCCCCTCCACACAAAGAGTAGATAGAGATGGACAACTTGAACATTGACTAACCAAAAATGGGAGAAGGGATACAAAGGTAAGAAGTGACTGGCTTACAAGCTTTCAAGAGGGAACCTAGATCCACAGGGCTGGGAGGATGGTGGAGTCTCCAGTGAGTAGTGTCCGACCTCTCTGGGAGGGGCAGATGAAAAGGGGTCCCTTGGGATGCAGGGGTGAATGATTGTTACCAGGACTGACTGTGAGGACTGGTAATGTAAAGGTGGACATTTTATAGCAAGGAGGGGAGTGATTAACCTTTCAGTCTAGGATTGTAGGACCCTGGGACCATCAATGGAGAAGAGCGGAGAGTGGGACCCCACCCAGAGGAGCAGTGAGGACAGAGACTGAGACAGAGAGGATGACGTGAAGAGAAAGGACGATGCGAAGAGATGGAGTGCCTAGGGACTAGAGAATCCAGAGAAGGAGAAGGACTGTGTTCTGATGACCGGTGGGCAGGATTGTAGGGTATACCCTTTTGTTGGGCGATGATGCATGGACAGGATGGTAACTATGGCAATGAGACGATGTATGATGGAATGAATGTAAAACTAATGCTCCCCATGTAGACTATCACACAATACACAATAAAACATTAAAAAAAAAAAAAAAAAAGAATCAAGCATTAAAGACAAGCTCAAACAAAAGCCCCAAAAAAAGAATTCCATCACTGAAACTAACCACTGCCCT